CTTGAAAACTCGACACTGGCCACTTTCCTATCGAGAATGCAATATAACCCTGATTATGGGCATGTCGATCGTGACCGGAATGTACCGGGCGTGGGGCGATAGCGCAAGGACGGAACGCAATATAGAAGACGATTATTGTTGTGGGACAAAAAGACACCCCTTTTACTCGCTCTTTTTTTAGAGTTTAGCAGTTACCCAATGAGTGTTTTGAAAAGGCTCTGCAAAGCCGCTCTTTTTGCTTTCGCTGTGACTGCTGCGCCTACCACGCAGGCCTTTGCAGCTTTTATCATCACCACATATCATTTATTTGTTATAATTCACACATGTCAAGCCACTTTTATGACTTCAATATTCACATATCTTATCTGCTCTACGCGTGAGGGCTTTTAGGCCCCTATAGAGCCACTTAACATCATCATTCATCACAACTGCACATGCACTGAGTGTCATTCTAAATAAGTGATAATTGCTCGCCATGCATGTTTGGACAGTGAGGTATAAAAAACTAGAGCACAGGTTGATGCGCAAAGTAATGGCTACTTTATTTCGGTCATGAACAGCATTGCGTACGAGAACGAAAAGAACATGAGAGTAGGGTGGATTGAGAAACGAAAAAGAAAAGCTCAGCAGGGCTTCAGCAATGTCACTGAAACGTGTCAATAATTACATGCGTGGAGATACACTTTCCTTCAAAAATATAACTTTTCAGAGAACCCGTTCGAGGGAGTGCAATTGCACCCTTCGCTGATATGCATGAGAAATGTTTTGCAAGTTTCTCTGCCTAATCGAACTATCAATAGATTATTTGATCAGCCAGAGAGGAAGATAACGTAAGCGTCATATGACGTCCTCATTACTCCTGTGAGCCCATTTGTACACAGAGCACTGTAAATGAACGGGAGCCCTACCTGCCGCACTTTCCATTGAATCCCGTCATGCTCACTGGTATAGGGACCCACTTTACGCATATCGGTCACTGTGTGCCTTTTTGTAATGAATTTAAATGGGTTTTTCATACACCCAAAGGCTCCGTAGTAAGGAACATATTCATTCAAAGTGTTGTTGTATATGCCGAAAGAAAGCACAGGATTTATCATCCGCAATTGATCGCTAGTGCAACTGTCGAATGCATCAAAACGACAGGCACTCAATTGTTTCGTGGTTCTTTAGAAAACCAGTGTGTATATGTCAACGAATTCGGATAAGCGTTTGTGCAAGGAAAGTTTATAAACAAAGCGATCTACAAAATATTTTGATAACTTCAGTTAAACTGTACCCCGACCGTGTTACAATTGACAGACATCTGTAGTATACCAGTTGCTCATTAAGGTAGCTTATTTAGCACCCTATGGCTAATGAAAGCTCCTGATCAAGACACAGGATTCAGGTATATATATTATTAGGACCTCTGTTTTTTGCAACCGTGAAAATGGGGTCGAGAGAAGATGACAAGTGCGGCACACATATTGAGACGAGTGACGTGTAAATCATTCTCAGGTTTTTAATATATTCTTTCGTTAATGGTTATGCACAAACCTTTACAAATGTGTTTCCCTTATGAAACCACACTGCGTTCTGACAATAGCAAGTGCCATACAACATGTAACTTGTGCTGATATGCTAGGCAAACGCATGTCACCATGTGTATGTTCTCTAGAAGGGTGTAAAACATGAGCACATATAGAAGCGTGTAGTTTGTTTTTGAACATCGCTTCTTCAATACGTATTCTGAAATGTCATTTGCATTTTATGTGCATCTATACTGATACATACTGCTAGTGGGCCTCTTGCATATGTCATACGACCATGTGTACTACGACAAATGGTCGGGATTCATGCAGCACTGCACTGTGGTGCCTTTAATAACAAGATTGCGTTATTGAGAGTTATATTCCCACCAATTATGCACCTAAACAAAATGTCTTGCTGCCAAGACTTCCCAGACAGTTCTAGCTACATTCATGCAGTGTTGTGTGCTATAGGCTTAAATGATATTGCTGCTTTATGGCCATGTATTGTTTCAGAGAAATTTCAGTGGTTTTTGAGCACCTGTGAGTATGTGTGCGCACTGGCACATCCTCGTCATATCAGTGCCGCTCTCAACTTTGTGAACGCGTTTTTTTTTATTTTCTGTCAGGAAACATAACCATCGCTTCCTTGTTCTACGGCGAGCACTCCCAATACTACGTGAGAGGAAGGGAGAATAATTTTGTGTGCTGCAGAAAGGCATCTCGCTGGCAACACGTCTTCACATGCTTGTTCTCCTGCTCAATATATGTTTTGCCTATATTTTTCAAATCATAAGCGCTTCAAACATGTAGGAAATGTGGCGTTTCTCCGTGCGACAGAAATGCTTTGACGAGAAAGGTAGAAGAGTCCTAGTTTCTTGAGTTCTGCCCTTCCGCAGTGAAGTCCGTGCACAACCCGCTGTAACAACAAAAACAATCTAAGCTCCCTAAAAGAGAGTTTAGAATAGGTGCAGTATTTCTTAAGACGACATGCGTGCACACCTTTTGTTTTCAAAAAAGGAGCTTCATATTTCCCACAGTTTCTCGGTGCCCTTTGGACATGTGGAAGATTACTGTTTACTATCCCGCGTTGTTGTCCAAACTGCACATAGGTTTGTGGCACTGAAGCTCGGCCTTATTACAAGCCACTTTTGAAACTCGCTAGATCACTTCTGCAATTTGCTATTGCTAAGAAATGGCAGAAAAGGTTATTCTAAAGAAGACTTAATGCCGGTATCTAATCTTAGATTGTGCCTGTGGCAATTGGTTTTTTTTTGGGCCACATATCTATATTCTTCTTGTGATCAGAAAACTCCATGCCTGCGCGGACAGCCCATCACAGATGCAGCCAAAGCTGTATGAATACGTTACTAACACACGTCGTAAACTCTTTTAGGTGTAGTTATAGGATGCACCTGCAAGAAATTCACCACGCTTTGTCATACCTTCCGGACGTATACAAACACCTAATGTACTATTCTTCGCTTTACGGTAGCAGTTTAGTACTTGTGACACACCTTTAGGGCATCATGTGCATTTTGTTGATGCTGTGACCGATAACAATGAAGAAATATGAGATTTTTGCGAAAACATTGAAACATCAATAATCCGCTAGTTGCGTGATTCACACTGTGTTACGCCTGGTACCTTATTTACTCTCCAACAGCACTCTATCACATTCGAAAACGTCGTTCTTTCTCAACATGAAGCCTGTAAGGGGCATTTCGTAAAAAGTTTTAAAGCACCAGCATCGCTCTCTGATAGAATATTGGGCTGCCACGGAAAAGACCCAGGTGTGAATCCTGGGTATTTGTGCATATATTGTCTTTTTTAGCAGATGCGGACAGCGGCGACGGTAGTGACCAACTATTGCGCGACAAACGGCCGTTTTTGTAATCTCGTAACAGCTATTGTCTGAAACTGCAATTACTCGCTCTTCCAGAATTATACGGCCAATATTTTTGGCTTCCTATGGCTGGCGGAAAAACAGCTAGTGAGGATGAGCGGGTAAGCTTTTGTATATGGACAAAATCTACGAACAGTGCAGTGCACTATGTTACGATGGCAGCGTCACAACTTATAGATGTACCGACTAAGACACCATCTAAAATAGCCCTAAACTGTACTTGTCCAGCAACAGCATCCACGTAAACATTTTCTGTACTCCAGAATTACGGGTGCTGTCGTTACTCTTCGCACTATGAAGCTTCAGTAAGGGCACGTACGTGTGCCTCAGACACAAGTGTACGAAGAAAGCATACAATGCTCGAATACTACTATTGAGCGGCCGATTCTGGAATCAAAAAGTACTGACACAGTTGTAACTAAGCGAATAAGTGCCAGCCCAATATATGAGGGCTGTCTGTCTGTCGCTGCCTGTCGATGAGCTGTCTGTCGTTCACGTTATAATTATCTGTCCGTACCTTGAACCGGAAAGACTGTGTCACTTCCCAAAGCTGTACAAATGCCACATTCCGCCTCACCCGCAATTTCTTCCTGGAGACGATCCCTTGTTCCCCCCAAAAGTGGTCTTAAAGTTTTTAGCTAGTGTAGGCTTCCTTCACTCCATAACATATTCTCACTAATCCCCGCCTCCTCTCAATCTTGAGGAAACCGCTGAGACTTTTTTATGGAATGTCATGCAGCACGCACTCCTTGTCCTGACAAGGACTGTCGCTGACACTGCATGACTCTGTAAAACCCATAAGCATAGCCCGTTTTAAACTCATCACACATAGTCACTACACCTAAGTTTAAACCCTATGCTCCACTCTTTTATTCTTGCGACCCTGAGTAGACTTTCTATAATCAAATCAACCAAAAACTGTGTTCGGCGCTCTTTGGCCTGAGTTGCCCTTGCGCCAATATAATCTACCATCATCATCATCATCATCATCAAAAAAAACTTCGTCTTAGAGCCGCCATACACGCTGCCTGGAACTTGCCAGTGACCGAAAAAAAATATTTTCGTATTATACCCAACCAATGTGGCTTTGGGCTACTGAAGTTACATTTGCTGACATCAGCATGTGTGCCTGTCACGACGACTACAATAGCCAGGCCTGGCAGCGAAGGACCTGTGTTCGTTTTGGCGAATTTTTTACGGTGCATGTTGCGCTAGTGGTTGCGTGCACTCCAAAGCGAAATTATATGCGCACGAGTACCGGCGGAAACTTCGTAATCACTAGAAATCCTCCATTTGGCCCTGGTATCGCAGTGTCGAAAGGTCTTACTGCTTCGTGTCATGTACTTTCAGCGTCAAATGAAACCAGAACAGCGGAAAGACTTTGCGACGGTGTAGTGCACGCCGTCCAGTTATCAACGTTTTAGGCACGCACATACTGTCAGGCAGCTCTGCCAATATATGCGTGCCTTTTCGTGGTGATAGCTGAAATGCAGGCTTTATACCATCAAGACGGCTTGCCGCTGTAGTGATTTCATTTGACTCTTACAGTACGCATTATAAATACTACAAGAGACTTGTGGTTTTCATTTGAGTAGCTCTCGTAAGAAAATCCACTGAGGTCCTGGCTTGTACACACACTATTTAGACGGCGGCGGTATGTCCTCCATGTTGAGGTCCCTGTAGCGGTCGTAGGCACCGATGAACTCCATTAACCAGGGAACGAGGGCTTCGAGACGCGCGTACACTCCCGGCATGTCGTCCAGCGCACACCCGATGCCGTAGGATACGATGCCCACTTGAAGGTAGCGGCCATCTTCGATTCGCGTCATCATGGGACCTCCGGAGTCGCCCTGCGATGTTATGAACAAATTTTCGAACAACAATATCTTATTTTGTAGCAGATTATCAAAGGTAATGAAGGATAGTGGTCTGGTTTTCACATAAGATGTTCGCAAGTCAAAAATTTATTCTGCTAAGTCACATAGAGGTCGCCAAGCTCCTTTATCTTCCGACTTGCTGGCTTATATAGAGCCGTAAATTGGAGTCAACCCGGTCTTGTATTATTTTAATGGTTCTGATGTTGAGTGATCCCAAGTGAAAACAATTTTTGTGGGACTGAGTACGAGTGATCCCCAATCGTAAAAGCCTATTGGGGTAGTCTTCGCGAGCTCTACATTTTTAGCCAATCTATGGTCCAATCTACTTAGCTTCTGAATTACCAGGATCCTTCTGTGCTCGTACTGGCTATGACACTCTACCGTGAATCTGAGGAAGAGCTTAGTGCTCTCTAAGCAGACGCCGCGGAGCGGCGCAGGATCCTCACAATGGTATCGTTCAGATGGCAGTTGCATATCTTGGACTGTCGAAGTGCAGTTTTCAGTATATGTCTGATGTTGTTCCTAGTCTGTTGCCTGAAGACTAGAAAGAATGCCGCTTTCGCCCTGCATACTAGGGTGTAGATCTTATTAAAAGGGTAATTCCCGAAAAGTACTCTTTTTGGCTGCCTAGGGACACCTAACGAAGTGGTAAGTGGGAGCGGGTGGTACGCGCTAACCAATTCAGTGAGTGTGGGATCTTTTACGGGTACCGGTGGCTATTTAAAGGCATCGTAAAGTCGCAGCACGACATTGCGGAATTTTCGCCATACACTGTGCCGATGATTTTTTATGGCCTCCCAGCATATTTGTGCAGATCAAAAAGGTCCACTACTCGCTGCCTACCCAGCGTCACCGGGAACCATCAGCTTTAGAGACTGTCGAGGCGGTGCCGACATTGCACAGCCCTCGGACAGAGCGGCCACGGATAATGGCTCATTTACTGAAAGTGAGCATACTGACCACTTATTTCTTATTGTACGCCAGCAACACAGTAGCGTGATGAGTGAAATGTCCCCCTTTTTTTTCTTTTTACAGGAACTAACGTTGCCACAAGTGTCGCGGTGGGAAGCCGAACATATGGTGCTTCATGTGGCTTCTCACAGTCTTCGAAATCAAAGGCACACATGCGTTTGTAGAACAGAGACTTCAGCACTACCGATTGTAGCTTGCTACGGTTATGGTGCTAAAGAGGATGCACCAAAATGGGTCCAAAACTTGCGCAAGCTGTCAAAGCGTGAAATGCGGTTTTCTTTCAATGCGTCATGAGCACGAGAAAACGTTTTTTTTTCTTTTTTGCGTCCTGCGGTAACGCCGCCGGCACGGAACACAGTTCTTACAAGGACCCGGAAATGGCGCAGGCATGCCCCGCAGGGGCGCCTGTGAAAGCAGGCGTTTGGTGTGTAGCGACACCACGGACCCGAGCTAACGGGGGAGTTCTGACTCCCTCCTGCGCTTGGCCATGCGTAGCTTTGCCGTGTCCGGGAAAAAGGGGATCCTGAGGCTTGAGCCGACGCTGGGTGATTGGACCTTTAAGGCCCCCCGGCCGAGGCAACACACCCCTTTGGCCTCGGCTTCACGTACACGGCACCCCTGGGCTGACCCATCCAGGGGAAATTGGCAGTCGCTTTTTCCTATCACTCTCTTCCTACATCTTCGTCTTTATCTCTCACTTTTTATCTGTCCTGTCATCTTCTCTTTTCAGGTTACTTCCGAATTTCTTGGCGGCGAGGGTTAACCCTGTGTAGTTACCCAACCTTGGGTAGTTATATTCGGTTATAGCGGCGATGCATGGCTGGCGTCTCCAAGTGTTCACTAGTCAACCTTGTAGCGTCCCCTTGTTGAGCTCGGTGGTGGGTGGCCACCATCGCCGCCGAACTTTATAGTATTTTTATGGCAAAAGCTTTTCCCCTCCTTCCTGATCGCTCCCTAAAAAGGTGGCGCACCGATGATACTTTCCTGCCTAACACACCAAAGCCTACATTCCCAAAGTACCATGCAATCCACAGTCAAAACGAAAACAAGACAGTCCGAGCCATTTCACCTTTCCTCGTTTCCAGAACTCTCACAGAAGCAATAGGCCCAGGTTATAAAGTGACAAAGATGGGAAGTGGCGATCTTCTTTTGGAGGTTCGTGACAAAGCTCAGTATGAAAAGCTGTCTAAGCTTGTAGCATTTCGGGAAACCCTTGTTTTGGTGGGCCCACACAGGTCCATGAACACTGTCCGTGGCGTAATTTCTGATGATGATGATCTTACTGAGCTTTCTGAAAGTGAGCTGCTCGAAGGTTAGCAGGACCAGAACGTGGTCAAAGTCCAACGAATAACAATAAGGCGCAACAACAAACCAACCCCTACAAAACGCGTAGTAATTACCTTCAGAACAAGTGACCTACCAGAATCAATCAAAACCGGCTATTGTAAGCTTCGTGTAAGACCATACATTCCCAACCCTCGTCGATGTTTCAAGTCCCAACGTTTTGGTCATGGATCGCAGAGTTGCAGAGGGCGTGCCACTTGCGCAAAGTGCGCATCCATTCAACACATATCGGACAACTGCACCTCAGAAACAACTCATTGTTCGAACTGTGAAGGAGATCACGCTGCCTACTCACGATCATGCCCCGCATGGAAAAAAGAGAAACAAATAGTAGAACTTAAGGTTAAATTCAATCTCACATTCCAAGAAGCACGCCAACGTTTCGCAATACACAACCCATCTTATCCCTCCTTTGCAGATGTGACGTGCCGGGGCGCCGCGCCACATGCCTCGGCACCCGCGAATGTCACACAGTGTGTGGCCACGGTCGTGCCGCCAGCGCCCCCGGCTGGAGCAGCCTGTACTGCTCCGCCACCTGACAAACAGGGCCGGCAGACCCCGGTGTCTGCCGAACCTGGGACCACTGCAGGCGCAGTTAGGTCCAAAAGTTCAGTGAATGTGCCTGCCCAGCAGGCACCATCCACCACCTCACAAGAGGTGATGGATACAAGTCCCACTCTTCCGGCGCCTCAGACGCCGAAGGATAGGCGCAACTCTTTGGAGCGCGCCAAAAAAGAAAAAACTCGAATCACAGGGCCCTCAAAAGGCCCTGTAAACTAACGCAACACCTCTGTACACACAGCACCACACTACATTAAAATGACACAACTTCTACAGTGGAACGTCAGAGGACAGTTGAGAACCCTCGACGATATCCATGAACTTTTGCACAAATATACACCTAAGGTGCTGTGCGTACAAGAGACACACCTGAAACCTAAACACACCAACTTTTTACGTCATTACGTTATCTTTCTGAAAGACCAGAATGATGCCATTGTGCCATCCGGTGGTGTTGCCATTATAGTCAATCAAGGGATTGCATGCACACACCTACCACTACAAACATCCTTTAAGGCGGTGGCTGTTCGAGCAGTTCTTTTGAATAAGCTCGTCACCATCTGCTCTCTCTACATACCTCCACAACACCGTCTTGAAAAGCATGAATTCGAGTCCCTCATAGAGGAACTTCCAGAACCTTATATACTCCTTGGAGATTTCAATGCACATAGCAATCTATGGGGTGACTCTCGCTGCGATGCTCGAGGTCGCCTGATTGAACAGCTCCTTTTTTCTTCCGGTGCGTGTCTGCTGAATCGGAAAGAGCCAACATATTACAACATCGCTAACAATACGTACTCAGCAATAGACCTCAGCATATTATCCCCATCACTCCTGCCTCTACTTAAATGGGAAGTCATTAATGATCCGTATGGTAGTGACCATTTTCCTATCATTATCAGCACATCAATAACAAATACATGTCCTGCCCAAGTTCCCAAATGGCTCACCGACAAAGCTGATTGGGAAAAGTTTCAAAAAATGACTTTATTATCTTGGACTGACATGGCGGCATTGAGCATAGAGGATGCTGTGTGCTACTTTACAGCTTTCCTGGTTGATGCAGCAACAAAATGTATTCCCCAAACATGTGTACCGTCAAGCAAACGACGAGTACCATGGTGGAATAATGAGTGCCGTGATGCTCGAAAAAAACAAATTAAGGCATGGAGGTTGCTTAAAGACTCGCCCACAGCCGAGAATCTTGTAAACTTTAAGAACGTCAAGTCGCAAGCAAGGAGGACGCGCCGACAGGCGAGAAGAGAAAGTTGGCACAAATTTGTATCGGGCATTAACTCATACACAGATGAGTCGAGAGTCTGGAGCATGGTTGGTAAAGTGGCAGGATGAGGAGCACATTCGCTTCCTCTAGTGAACACACAAGGGGAGAGTTTGGAAGACCAGGCAAACACTCTCGGAGCGCACTTTGAACAGGTCTCCAGCTCAACGCACCATAGTGAAGCGTTCCGACGATACAAAACCGCAATAGAAAAACAAAGATTAGAGCGCAAGCCCAGAACACATGAGGCATACAACGAACCTTTCTGTTTGGCTGAACTGCAGGCCTCACTTGCCTGCTGCAATAAATCTGCCCCAGGCCCGGACCATGTGGCATATGAAATGTTAAAACACCTGCCCACTGAAACCCAGAAAGCTCTCCTTTATCTGTAAATGCGATATGGTCTTCTGGCGAGCTACCCTCAGCCTGGAAGGAAGCTATCATTATCTCAATCCTAAAACAAGGCAAGGACCCGGCCTCAGTTTCCAGCAACAGGCCAATAGCATTAACCAGCTGTATTTGCAAAGTCTTTGAAAAAATGATTAACAGGTGCCTGATGCACTTCCTTGAAATTAGTGGCCTACTTGACCCATACCAGTGTGGGTTTCGAGAGGCTCGGTCCAACACTGACCACCTTGTCCGTATCGAAGCACAAATTCATGACGCTTTTGTTCATAAGCAATTTTTTCTTTCTGTGTTCCTCGATATGGAAAAGGCATATGACACTGCATGGCGCTTCGGCATATTGCGAGACCTGTCACATTTAGGTGTGCGAGGTAGAATGCTGACAGTTATCGAAAGCTACCTGTCCAACCGTACATTCCGTGTCCAAGTTGGCACTGTCTTATCTCGAGTATTTGTCCAAGAAACAGGAGTGCCACAAGGAGGTGTATTGAGCTGCACACTTTTCATAGTTAAAATGAATTCCTTGCACCTGTCTCTCCCACGAAATATATTTTACTGCATATATGTCGATGATGTGCACATTGGTTACAAATCGTGCAACATCTCAATGTGCCAACGTCAAGTTCAACTAGGGTTGAACAAGGTATCTCAATGGGCAAACGAGAATGGTTTTATACTCAACGCGCAAAAGAGCACTTGTGTCTTGTTCAGCCGAAAGAGGGGCCTCCATCCTGACCCCGACATTGACCTGCATGGTCAACCTCTGTCAGTGAAAACCGAGCACAAGTTTCTTGGTCTCATATTAGACACTAAGCTAACCTTCATCCCACACATCAAGTATTTAAGGGGCAGGTGCTTAAAAACAATGAACATTTTGAAAGTGTTGTCATACACTACCTGGTGTAGTGAGAGAAAATGTTTAATTAACTTATATAAAAGCCTCGTACGCACACGCCTAGATTACAGTGCTATAATCTATCAGTCGGCAACATCATCAGCCTTGAAAATTCTCGACCCTGTCTACTATCTAGGCATTCGCTTCTCTACGGGTGCTTTCCGCACCAGCCCTGTGGAGAGCCTGTACGTGGATTCGAATGAATGGTCGCTCCACCTACAAAGATGTTCCTTGTCCTTTTTGTACTTTTTAAAGGTGAAGGCAGACAAGAAACATCCTTCCCATTTCACAATTATAGATTTGTCTTGTTCTGGCTTGTTCGAGTACCGTCCTTCGTTTAGGCAGCCCTACGCGCTGCGTGTAAGGAGCCTGGCCGAAGAAACAGGTGTGCCTCTTCTTGAACCCAGTTTGATGGCTCCTGCAACATATGTGCCACCGTGACAGTGGCAGCTTATAGACTGTGATGTTTCTTTTGTTGATGTCACAAAGCACGCACCACTAGCACACATACATACATACTTTTTAGAACTACAACATAAATACACGTGCCCTGAGTTCTTTACTGATGCGTCAAAGTCAAACACTTCTGTGTCATATGCAGCGGTAGGCCAATCCTTTTCCGAGGCCGGCGTTCTTCAACCTAATGCAAGCATCTTCACAGGAGAAGCTTACGCAATACTGGCGGTCGTAAAACACATTAAACAGATAAAATTACAAAAGGAGGTAATATACACAGATTCCCTAAACGTGGTCAAAGCCCTGAAAACTCCTAAAAAACACAAGAACCCCGTGCTGGTGTCACTCTACTCACTTCTGTGCACACTCTACACATCAAAACAGCATGTCGTTGTCTGCTGGGTTCCAGGGCACCGTGAAATACAAGGAAACGTTTTGGCCGACAATTTGGCTGCTTGCGCCAAAGTCACTACTGCCAAAGCATCAACACCAATCCCTGCACTCGACTTAAAAGCTTTTATAAAACGAAAGCTCAGGGGGTATTGGCAGATCATGTGGGATAAACACACAGATAATAAACTCCATGCTATTAAGCCGCAACTAGGTTATTGGCCGCCACTATCAAAATCACGACACACAGAAGTAATACTAACAAGGCTTAGAACAGGACACACACATTCTACACATTCATTTCTTCTGTCTACCGGTGATCCACCATATTTTGAGAGATGTGGAGAGCCCCTTACGGTTCTCCACATTCTCGTCCAGTGCAATGAGCTAGATGCTCTAAGAAAAAAGCACTTTTTACTGCCCTACCGACAGCAGCTCCCTCTACACCTTGGGATGCTCATCGGTAGGGATCCGCTTTTGAAACTGCAAACACTTTTTACGTTTTTAAAAGATCTGCAAAGCTTCCACCCAATATTTCGAGGTCATCCGTAGCACGACCTCTATAGAGTGGTCGTGGCTGCGGTGACTACATCTTCATCATGGTTTTATTATCATGAAATTTTGCCATCAGCTATCACCACACATATGTCACGCCACTGTCATGATTTTATTACTTTCATGTTTTAACCCGCGTTAGAGCGAGAAGTTTTAAGGCCCCTTCCCAGCCACGCACCATATCATTGTTCATATCTGTAGTCAATTGAAATGGCGCTCTTTGGCCATCAATTGGCCCTTGCGCCACTAAAAACTACTCATCATCATCATGGCGCAGGCATGGCGCGCTGTGTATTGCGCAAGCCGCACGCTCATTCACATGCTCTTTAAAAATTTGCCACTTCCCCGATTTTTATGTTCTTCTTATCCTCCTCATCTACTCTACGAACTAGAAGCTGAAGTACAAAGTTGCGTCTTGCCCTCCTGCACGCAGGCTGCTCCCTCACTTCTCAACTCTCCACTCTGACTTCCTACCTCCATGTAGCCACCCGTAACCTTGTACATCAAAATTTAATAAACTCACGTTATCCCTGTATACAAAAAGCCAAGTGTTTCATCGGCCTCTAGAATAACACATAACAAAACAGCAACTGGTGAATTTTCACGTTGGATGAGGCATATAATGCATTTGCCTTGGCAGTCAAATCAATAAGGTACATGAAACATAGCCAATGAGTAAGCTACACAGCAAAATAAAGGCATGTAAAAATACATTGGATGAGCTACCGAACTTGTAGTGATGAATCAATATGAAACAAAGCAGGAAAACACGAAAAAACCTATATAAACTATGGATTTATCTTCGTCAATACATAAATTGAAATACATCAGTAAAAAAGCTTATTTTATAGCGGTAGCATATCTCACAGAAAAGTCACCATGAGTTTATCATCAAACTTCTAATTTCAAGGTCACATTCAACGCTAACTTGCGCTGTATTAGAGCTACGCCGAAAATTTCTTTTAGGAAACGTCACTCTGAAATGAAGTCAAGCTTTACGGGTGCAGTTATTCACACTTTTTTTAGTTCCAACCAAGCCGTGCAAATGCAGAGCCGAGAATGCTCCAATGATAGTATGCATTCTAGGGCGTCCCTATAGCGGTTACTAGTTTCCCAATTCCGAACTTTTCCAGCTTCATAGCCAGTAATTGTATTAGAGGACTCTGCCGTTACTCTCACATTTATGCAGGCTAACTATCATTCTCATGTACAGTCACACATGATTAAAAATAGTAGCATTCATACGCCAGCTCAATATTCATTGAGGAGAGACGGGAGTTAAGTAGCCGAGTAAAGCAAAAAAGTTGTGTGCCCCACGTTTATAGTAAGTAGATGCTTGTCTTGATCTTTCTTCTCACAAACGCTTATTTACATGGTGATCTTGACAACTAAGTGTCGTGTGAGGCTGGTCTTATAAAAAAAAGAATCCTTTTTTAACTGCCAAGGTTGATACGTTGTATTTGAAATAACGTGATGAATGGTGCCACACGCAACACTGCTTATAGATATAGGAGCGCCAACAAACCAGATGTTCGCTCTCCTATTACCTTCATCCGTCTCCAACACATGTTCGGCGCAGCAAATCAATGCATACAGCGTTTTCCCTTTAAACCTAAATGTACGCTGCATGGTAGGCGTTGCATGTGTCCCGGCGCAGTATAAAGCCCATGATTGCTGTGCTTTCATCATTGTCTGTGCAACAGAGTGCGAAACACTAAGAACCATGGAGCAGAAGAAGGCTCAGGAAGCCGAAAGTAAGCGTAAGCATCGGCCAGCAGACCTTAACTTCTGTTCAGTGAAGTCAAATGTAAAAATCAACTTTGGCTAGCAAAGCGATCTCGAAATAAAGCCACGACAACCCCGTACAAACGTCTCCCTTGTTCTCAATCAATTCTCCTACTTTAACTTTCATTGCGCTTACCCACTTTAGCACGAGGAATTTAAAGGCTCTTACACAGCCGGTTATCACAACCATTTTCCGCATCTCTAGTCCCATGAACTTGCGCTTTTTGGCCATCAAATAGCCCTTGTGCCGCAAAACACCAAACACCAAGTTTCATTGCGCTGTGTTGCCAAGGGAAACGAAGCAGAAACTTCATGCGTATCCCCCGTGATGCTTTTGTATCCCACCATGGTTGCCCGTAGGGGAAGTGATGTGTTTTTGTTTTGCGTGTAGGCAGTAACCTTAGCAGCTTGCATGCTGCTCCGTCTTGCACAAATCTAGAAGCATAACATGACTTGTGGTTGCGTTGCAATACTTTTCAGAATGTTGTAATTCAAAAATACCTGCATCAAGCACCAAATATGTACCTACTTGAGCTATGATAGGTGAAGCAAAACATATATATTTCTTGTTTGCGTTCATACGTTCTTCCCCGCGAGACGTTGACAGGGCAAGAACTTAAACAGGATGGCCAGTTTTGTCTCTAGGTGCAGTTTGTGCGCACTAAGGTCGTAAAATGGTGATATAGGAGCCATGCTTACCTGACAAGCATCGGTGTTGAGCCTGTACGCACAGTACATAAGGTCTTGCCGATAGCCGGTGTGCTGGAACTTGTCGGCGCAACGTGCATTAGGAACAACCTTGACGACTGTGTACCGAAGATAATCCACTGCTTGGCCATCTGCAGTTTCAAAAGTTAGAGGAGCTTGGAACGCTTTTATGCATATGAAAGTAATTGTCTGGACCAATTTGCGAAAATCGGTTTGATATTCTTTTTCACTTGCCCTTACATATTCATAAAGACAGCACATAAATGTACGTGTCAATTTTTATGAAAGGGAAAACGGTGATGCGTGGCCTGCGCGCTCCGGTGGCTGCTGGCAGTGCGTTCAAGCGGAAGCGATTGCATCCACAGTCTCTTTTCACGTCATCTCGTGGCGACCAAAACATCCATTCATTGCTGATATAGAACGGCAAGCTTGCAACCCTCTCTCCTTCGAAACGGTTACCAGCTCTCACGTACTCTCCTTGAAGGGGGAAAGGATTGAAATCTTGCCGCTGGTTACGTATCAGCGCGAATGGTTTGTTTGCTCACCGCGAGATGACGCCATAAGAGACTGTGGTTGCTCTCGCTCCCGCTTGAACGCGGTGCCAACAGCCACCGGAGCGCGCATGCCACGTGCTCCCGTGTTCCCTTTCATAAAAATTGACACTGTACATACACAGAGTTTCATTCGCCAGCCTGAAAAAATGGCCGTCGGTGTGCTCAGTATCATGCAAACACGTCGCGGGTGTGAAGAAAACTGTTTGCGTAAATATAGAGGCTAGTATGAAAGTGAGGCACCGCTCAAGTTAAGAAGCACATCTACAGTTTCAGATTTCTGACAATGTAGATTCCTCCCGTGGCTGCCGGTAGCGCGGTCAAGCGGAAGCGAGAGCCATCAAAGCCTCTTCTCGCGTCAACTGGTGGTGAGCAAAGCAGCCAATCATTACTGATATGACACCAGCAGCAAGATAGCACCCTCTCCCCCTTCAAGGCGATTACCAGCCTGTTGTGTTATCCACCTTGATAAAGGGGAGGGGGGTTGATTAACTCTCACTCCAGCAGGAACTCGTAGTGGGTGTTATGCAAGTGGGTAAGTGGTTATAATAAGGAAAAGTGCCACCCAAAACTGTCTCTCTTAACGACATCTCAACAGGTCTACACGGAGATAGGGCAATGGGAGTGGATGCACCGTCATTATCTGCTCTCTAATTGCTGTGCAGATGTCGCACCTCAGCATCTCGTTTTCGCTGTTGTTGGTAGTTCCGCATACGGGTATTAGCACACTTGATGCGTAGTTGAGTTCATTCTATACCACTGTGTCTACACTTGCTTTAAGAGAACATAGTACAAGTGCACAAGCGAAGCGGACAGACTGAAGTCAACATAGGCATGTTTACCCGTTGGCAAGGTGGTAGCAAGCCACTACTGACGAATGTTAAGAAAGAGACGCCCCCCCTCTCCCTCCACCTTCAACGGTGCTCACTGTTGGATTCACACTTGCAAATACACGATTTTTACACTTGGAAATACACGATACACGATGTTTTTTCTTCTACACAGGAATCGCGTAATTACAGAATGAAGCTTGTGCTACGCTTCCGCTGTGGGTGTCCTGCGCGTCTCATGACCACCCACTGTAGACTTCCTGCTGTGCGGGCCACCTATGTGACGCTGCAGACCATAGGTGACCGCCGCGGTCACCTATAGTCCCTACCAACTCCAAGTTATATTTTCATCCCTTTCATACGTTCGCCATACTTACTATAAACATTGCCTGAATTTTCACTGGCTTTCTTATCTCCAAGATGTAAAAAAATCAACGGAACTGTACGGAGATGGCAAAAGGTTCTGCTACCGAAGCTTTCCCTTCGGGGTGAGCTACTGCATAGCGCAGCGTCAGCCACAACGACGTATTCTGGGAACTCCAGCAGGACCTCGCGGTGGCAGAAAGGCAAAGCCTCAAAGCTTCCACCTGAAAGACTTTGGTCCACTGAGCAAGACCACATCTGGGGATTCTCAATAAAGTTGCAGCAACGTGCTGCGCAAATTCGGTTTGCCAAACCATACGTTACCCCGCCACGGTGGTATGGTGACTAAGGTACTCGGCTGATGAACCGCAGGTCACGAGATCGAATCCAAGCTGCGGCGGCTGGATTTGCAATGGGAGCGGAAATGTTGCAGGCCCGTGTGCTCAGATTGAGGTGCACGTTAAAGAAACCCAGGTGGTCGAAATTTCCGGATCCCGCCACTACGACGTCTCTCATACTCACCTGGTGGTTTTGGGACATTAAACCTCACATATCAATCAATTAAAGCCATGCGTTACTTTTTTTCATGCACAGGGCTTGAAAAATCTTCTTTTTAACCATCAAGTCATAGAAACAATGAAAGTGTCACCTTGAGAAAGGAAGCCCCAACCAGCGACGACAACGTCCGAGTTGAATATATTCACGGGTGCAGACGGAACACAAATCGGCTTTGCGTTGTTTCCATACACGAATTCGTTGTCTACCTGCACGATAAAATATGATTCACTCACGTAAGCTAGAGCGTGAAGTCTGTCAGTATTCACTCTCACGTTCACCATTGCGCGCCAAACCTAGCGATTTTTGAAGAGTAGTATCCAAATGCCGCTAATCGAAAAGTTCCGATACCATCTGCGTTTTCTATATACCGGCTATTGTACACATGCTGATACTAGATCACTGCTCATTGGGCGTGTGGGAGTCAATCATAAGAAGATGAAATTCGAGCGGCAGACCAAGGTTGGATTCGAAGTGGGGTTCTTGTACATTATTCACCTTGAAAAAGTTGGGACGTGTACAAGATAAAAAATGCAAAGTTAAGCCATTATGAGCAATTGCACGATGTACAGTCGTCTTCAATATTAACATAAATGCTCGAACACGTCCCCTGAACTAGTTTTAGTTTGAATTATGCCAGCCGCGAAGCGCTGAATGCTACTACAGAGATTATACCATGCAGGGCTTGGATAGTATGTCTGCATGCATGCGTAACATAATGGTGACGGAAGGCATAGCTACACCGCACTAGCGTCAATGAAACTGTTTCACAACAAACATCAGGGTGTTCTCCTTGGCCTTGCTGAAGAATGTACATCTCGCACTGGCCAGATTTTAGCCTGGCTTTCTAAACGTAAGAGTGAAAGTGAGCAGGTCACGTAATGCGTGAGGCTATCTCGGCAATCAAAGAACATGCGTGACTATATTTCTGCTCTTTAATATATTGACGCGACAGTTACGAGTAAGTATGGGGGAAGTGTTCGCACCGCATTTATATGAGCAGGAAGGAGAGGGCGGTGTCTCGCTCTCCCCGTGTGCACGCCTACATTACCTATAGTGTATCTATATTTGATTGATTGATTTGTGGCGTTTAACGTCCCAAAACCACTATATGATTATGAGAGATTCCGTAGTGGAGGGCTCCGGAAATTTCGACCACCTGGGGTTCTTTAACGTGCACCCAAATCTGAGCACACGGGCCTACAACATTTCCGCCTCCATCGGAAATGCAGCCGCCGCAGCCGGGATTCGATCCCGCGACCTGCGGGTCAGAAACCTTAGCCACTAGACCACCGCGTACCTTAGCCACTAGACCACCGCGGCGGGGTAGTGGATCTTTAATACCGTGTGTGATCTGCATCAAATATGATTGGTCACTACATGCTAAACAATGCAAATTAGTCATAATAAACTTCATTTGAAGATCAATCCTAGTACGGTAAGCAGGACGTCGTTGAGCCGTAATTACTTCATCAGCACGAGCGATACTTCCAACCTGGTATCGAAGCACCTTCCAACATATTCACATGTTAAGGCGGTCATGCTATGGCCTCGTAAATTACGTGACCAACAAGATTAAATACGTACTGTTTTAAAAAAAATGAAAGCTCGACTTCGCAAAGGACGAGAAATATTAGCAGAGATTGTAGTCTAGGATTCAAGCTAACAAAAATGCCAAAGCTTCTCTCTTAGTGGCAAATAATTGCCTTCAAAGTTAGTTTATTCATTATCAAAATGTGTGTCCACAAAACTGGAGCACTGCCGATAGTAGAGTAGTATCATCCAGTATGGTGCAATGATTGAGGAATTTTCCAAGGGATAGACTGGCAAGCTTTGCCCCGCCACGGTGGTCTAGTGGCTAAGGTTCTCGGCTGCTGACCCGCAGGTCGTGGGATTGAAATCCCGGCTGCGGCGGCTGCATTTTCGATGGAAGCGGACATGTTGTAGGCCCGTGTGCTCAGATTTGGGAGCACGTTAAAGAACCCCAGGTGGTCGACATTTCTGGAGCCCTTCACTACGGCGTCTCTCATAATCATATGGTGGTTTTGGAACGTTAAACCTCACATATCAATCAAGACTGGCAAGCTTCAAGAAACTTTGTGCTATTACAGTTTGTTGTTATTCTTAAGCCAGAGTGGATGTAAATGTGCTATACTTGATTGCCAATAATTCGGCTGTGTTCGCCGCGGTATTGTTGACTCTTCTTGCAAGCATCTGGACAGCCTTCAAATAACGCGGGTTTTGTCGTTTTACCGCCTACTTATCGAAAACCTCGTGTTTTACGCCGCAAATCTGAAGTACACTTTGAACCCATATGCGTGAACGAAGGCACAAGTCTTCGCAAAAGACAGCAGTTGGCCAGAAACCACCAAACAAGAGGGTGTGACCAAGTGACATGCTTTTTATCTGGTGAGAGTTTCAAAAGGTTCATCGTCGTGCTTTTTCTCAATACAATACATATAGGAAACGGGTCACCTGGAATACAGGAATACGGTACCAGGAGTATGGCTATGTCATGGAGAAACTTGGCGGCATCGAATTCGGGATGTCGAATCATCTTCATGGCCCGCAGGGTCGTGCCTTTGTGAATGTCATTGCTGCCGTAGATGACGTCGATCTTCAGAGCCTCTTCGTCGTTGCTGAAAACGAGACCCAAGCAAATCGCCTAAGTGTGTGAACAGGCATTGCTGTTTCGTGGGTAGAAGCTATTTTGATGGATAGCATGCACTGGAAGGTGTCGCTATATTCGAACCAGTTCAAAACTCACTATCATCAAGACAACCCACTGCAGAGCACAGATCTCTCCCATGTCCATGACCACTTATTGCCCATTCACCACAAAACCACATTATTCATCATCATCATCATATATCCGGTCCTGTGCTTGCTGCTGTAACATTATACCCGCAAGGCGGGCTAAATACAATGCCATTGGTTAAATACAATGACATACAATGTCAATATCAGCACTCCTTGGGGCGCAACAAGAAAGGGAAACATCCCGTAACCGCTCCATCAAAGGGGTTGGTACCCTGAATAATTGCTTCCCCTTAAACACATATGTTTTAGCACATTCATCTGAACACAGGACACATACATTTCTTGTCAATATGACCACACAAGTACTCCAGTGGAATGCCAGAGGCCTATTTAATAACCTAGATGATATCAAAGGCTTGCTAAATGACTATCAGTCAAAAGTGTTCTCTGTTCCAGAAACTCATTTAAAGTCAACTCATGTGAGTTTCTTAAATGAATATGTGGTTTTTCGTAAAGATCGAAATGGTGGAAATTTTTCTTCTGGAGGTGTGGCCATCATTGCACAAAGAAGCGTAGCATGCCAGCACATTGTGCTACAAACCTCTCTTGAGGTTGTGGCTGTTTGCGCTATTCTATTCAATCATCTTATATCTATCTGCTCAATCTACATAGCCCCCGACGAACCATTCATTAAAACAGAGTTCGAAAAGCTTATTGATCAGCTTTCAGAACCATATGTGTTAATTGGAGATATTAATGCTCACAGTTTGCTATGGGGTGATACCAAATGTGATGCGAGAGGTCGTGCAATAGAAAACTTTCTTCTGGCATCTGGAGCCTGTCTGTTTAATAAGGCACAGCCAACATACTTCAGTACCACACACAATACATATTAGTGCCTAGATTTAGCCATTGGGTCACCGTCACTCCTACATTACTTAGACTGGAAAGTTATTATTAATCCATATGGAAGTGACCATTCTCCAACTCTTTTAGTAACAAAACAACGGGATGACCAGCTGTCTTATCCTAAAAAGTGGAATTTTCATGTTGCAAACTGGGTGAAATTCAGAGAGCTATGTACACTACACCTCGACGAGGTAGACCATTTGGAAGTGGAAGAGATGGCCAACTATATCTCTGAATATGTTCTTACTTGTGCAAAAAAGTGCATAGCGCAGTCCAGGAATGATAAGGTTAACACGAAGCCATGGTGGAATCAGGAGTGTGAAATTGCTAAAAACGGCAAAACAAAACATAGAGGACATTTTCTCGCAACCCAACAGCAGAAAACTTGATAACCTTTAAAAGTTCCAAAGCGAATAGCAGGCGTATTCGCCGTACAGCCAAACGGGAAAGCTGGACACACTACATATCCTCAATACACTCCTACACAGACGTCAGCAAGGTTTATAATAGGTGGCATAAACTTAAAGGACAAGGCCCAAATCCCGTCCTATTGGTGAATGACTGCGGTGATACAATAGAAGAACAGGTGAACGCTCTTGGCGAACACTTCGAGAAAATGTCAAGCTCAGAAAACTATACCACTAAATTCTTACGCCACAAAAGCATAGCTGAAAGTGTACCTCTGTGCCGGAACAAGCCTGTATCAGATGGATACAATAAAGCACTGACACTATATGAACTGAAGCTTGCCCTTTGTTCCTGTGGAAGTTCTGCTCCTGGTTCTGATACAATTACCTATGAAATAATCAGAAATCTCCCTGATGAAACCCTGAACTGCCTTTTAGCACTTTACAACAAGATTTTCAATACCAGCAAACTTCGCTCTGCTTGGAAAGAGGCAATAGTACTACCAATCCTTAAACAGGGCAAAGATCTCTCTTCGGTAAATAGTTACAGGCCTATCGCCCTCACAAGCTGCGTACTCAAAGTGTTTGGAAAAATGATTAACTGCCGCTTGGTCTATCACTCGGAATACAACGGTATATTGGACCCGTGCCAGTCTGGTTTTCGTACAGCTAGATCCACAACTGACATACTTGTCCTCCTCGAGTCGTATATACGTGACGCGTTTGTACACAATCAGTACTGTCTGTCTGTTTTCTTTCATCTTGAGAAGACATATGACACTGCCTGGCGATACGGAATCCTGCAAGATCTACTGTCTTTCGGAATATGTGGCAGGTTGATTACCATCTTAAAAGATTACCTGTCTGAAAGGAAGTTCAGTGTAAGAATAGGTACTGTGTTATCGCGCACATTTCTACAAGAAAATGGAGTGCCGCAGGGAGGAGTATTAGGCTGCACACTATTTATAGTTAAAATTAACTCTTTTCGCTCTGTTATTCCACCCGCGATATCGTACTTTGTATACGTGGATGACATTCAAATTAGTTTCAAATCATTTAACTTCACTGTATGCGAACGCCAGATGCAGTTCGGTGTTAACTGACTTGCAAAATGGGCTGACGAGAATGGTTTTAAGTTTAACACTGACAAGACTACTAGTGCGCTGTTCTCGAGACGACGAGGTGTGCATCCTGACCCCTGCATACTAATGAATGGACAAAACATAGTCATCGCGAAAGAACAAAAATTCCTCGGTGTAATTTTTGATTCCAAACTCACCTTCATCTAGCACATAAAGCAGCTGAAGTTAAAATGTCTCACGACCATGAACCTTTTAAAGATTTTATCGCATCAGTCGTGGGCACTGTCTCATATCTCTGTTTCGAAGCCTGGTTCTGTCACGCATAGACTATGGATGCATAGTATATCAGTCAGCTTCAAGGACAGCACTGAAAATGTTGGACCCTATATACCACTTAGGTATCCGGCTGGCACTTGGTGTCTTCCGTACCAGCCCTATTCACAGCCTTTATGCAGAGTCAGATCAGAGGCCACTCGACTATCAGCGCACGTATCTAGGAGTCAACTATGCAGTTAAGATCATGTCTCTGAAGCAGCACCCATGCAAAACACTTATGAACGATGTGTCTACTACCCAGTTATACCTAAACCGTCCTTCTATCACCCCACCGTTTCCATTGGCAATAAGACCTGCAGTAGAAAAACTTGAAATTTTTTTCAATGGCTTAGTGGGAAGTGACCATGTCGAACACATCCCTCCCTGGCAGCAGTGTCCAGTCACTTGTGACTGGTCTTTCAAAGACATCATAAAGAAAAATTGTCCAAGTGCACTCATTGAGCAACATTTCTTGGCCCTTGAACACAAATATCGTTCAACCGCGTTCTTCTCTGATGGCTCAAAATCTCAAACATCTGTATCTTGTGCAGCCTACGGACCAAAGTTCTCAAACACCAGAATCATGCGTACACATACCAGCATTTTCACAGCGGAAGTCTATGGTATCCTGCTTACTGAACAACACATTAAACAACAGAAGATAAAAAAGTATATAGTATACACAAATTTTTTGAGTGTTGTCAGGGCCCTCTCTTGTGGCAAGAACAACAGGAACCTTACTTTCAACAAGCTCCTCAACGAAATCTATGCAGCCTATAACCTAAAACCTTCTATTGTTGTTTGCTGGGTTCCAGGTCATTCTGGAATTGCAGGCAATGAAATGTGGACAAGAATGCACGAGACGCCGCTGGTTGGCAAACCATAGATATTACCTCTGTTCCGGGTGTAGATCTAAAACTTGTTGCACGTAGAGGTCTACGCAACCACTGGCAAGATGAATGGGACAGAGAAGTCGACAACAAACTCCACCTTGTAAAACCCCAACTGAGAAAAGTTATCCCGCAAAAACTCAACAGTTTCCCCGAAGTCAATCTAACACGGCTCAGAATAGGCCACACTAATGCCACACACAAACACCTTTTGACAGGCACTGATCCACCTACATGTATACACTGTGGAGAGAGTCTAACCGTTTTGCATGTCCTCATACAATGTCCTGTGCTTCACCAAGCACGACTGACCCTTTTCAGGGAGCTCTATCGATATCATATCCCACTTCATCCAGCGCTGTTTTTATCACCTAATGCAGTGGTTGACCTTAAGAGACTTCTTCATTCTCTTGGGAAAGTCAAATGTTTAACAATGATATTCCATCCTAGCCACCAGGCTGTGCCTCAAGTGTGAGGTACCGCCTGGTGCATAAAAAGTATGCTGAGCCTTCGCAGTTCTTGCTCAGGCAAGGACTTCAGCTGCGAGGGTCTCGGGCCTTGCAGACTAATTTATCATTACAGACTTCAGCCAACGAAATGAAAGTTTTTAACAAAGTGACATTCCTTTTGAATGCACCGTGTTTTGAATGGTTCATAGATATTTGCTACACATCATTTGCTTTAATTTTTAAACTAATAACCTGAAATGAAACAACACTTTTACTGGCGCTCTTTGGCCTTAGATGCCCTTGCGGCAACAAAACTTAACGTAATAAATAACAATGCCCTTGGTGCAATCACACTCAAGAAAAGAAGGTACAGGTGCTCCGAAAATAAAATGCAGCATGCAAGCTATGGTCAAGCCACGCTAAAGCGAATGCCAGGGTGCTGCATCAAAGAAGTCGCTCGTTGTTTTTAAACGAAAAAGTGTCAGGAGAGACCGCCATCAGTATCGTTTGAGAATTTTATCAATGAAGTGCACTGGCATTCAGGCCTGCGTATCTTGGTCTTATCTCACGGGCTCCGTTTTACTTTTGTAGCACCTCTACACTAAGTTCACACCACAGACAAACCTACACTGCAATGCTCTACTAGTCAATTCAGCCGTTGAGTCAATAATGCTCACACGAAATCATTTCATTCCTACACGCAACTTACAGTAGCGTACAATGTCCAGCAGTCAGCACGTGCCGTTTCGTTATGATGCTCCCTCCACATCTTGTAGCCTGGCCAGGGAAGAACACCTTCAGGAATACCTAATAAGCCAACAGAAAATAAACAATTACACACTGGTGCATACTTTAACTGAGTTTTCTCATCCTGCTGGTGAGAGAAGTACGATTGTCCTTGTAAATATAAAACCCAATCAAAACTGCTAGTTTTTTTTTCCATGCTTTATCAAAATTTGTTGCTTTCGGCACCATTGGCACTAAAGCGCATTTTCAATTGTGACCAAACGAAAACACACTCTAGTTAAGTATTGGTACGCTGCACACCATGTGAGTCATGAATTTCAATTTCTGTAACCAACCTTTTCGCGAGTTTGTGTTACGAATTAGGCGTATTGTTTTTCATGTTCACCTAAGGACACAAGCACTTTTAATAAAATCTCGCGGGTAATTTTCAAGAAACGATTTTTATTGAGTATGGTTTTTGACGCCATCGGAGCTTGAAGGGTGCATTTTTTTTATAAATGCCACACAGGTTTGAAGTAAGGCTATTATTTCAGGAGGACTATACAATATTTTTTATCAAGTAACCCAGAACCAGAAAAAGTAATTCAAAAGCCAAGTATTCAATTGCTAATTGTGAGAGATAACATGTACAAATAATATGAAACTTGTATGTGTTGTACAAGAAGAAGAAGAAGAAGGTGTTTATGAGAAGAAAGAGGTCGGCCTCGAAAGTGGGTTTCTGGTCTGCTACACCACATGGGGGTAAGGGGAAAAAGGGAAAGAAAGAGGAGGGGTATGATGAGGGATGATTGTGGTATAGCACAATGAGTCACTGCACACAATGTCTCGTTCGGTGTAGTACACGCACAAAAGTCTCTACACTATCAGATTCTCTAAAGACGGGATCTAAACCTGTCTTGCTTAGAAATGCGAGCAGGCCCTTTGAACTGCGTTGAGCGTGATCCACACGTTTGGCAAACATCCAAAAGTTCCTCTTCCGAAAAGGGTCGGCAGTCTAGGTCATCTGTGAGGCACTTAAAAGATTGTCTTTCAACTGCGTATAAAGAGTACACAAACAGGATGTGATTAATAGTTTCTGGCGTGTTACGCAAGTTGCAGTCAAGTTTGCGGGTATAAAGTGGCAGCAGCAAGCCCAGGACTGACCTGACTGGCGGAGCACGGGAGAGGCTTTTGTCCTGCAGTGGATGTAGTCAATCTGATGATGATGATGATGATGATGATAATGATGATGATGATGATGATGATGTGTTGTACATAAGTGAACGGGTTTACATGTAAACGTATGATTAATAAACACCTATAAAATATAAAAAGATATGTTTATGAAACGCAGTCATAAAACATTAAAGTATTATCCCCATAGCCACGTGATCATGAATTCACACATTATTGTCATGACAGTCATTTCAATGAGGAATAGCGCGCGCTTTTGACAATGCCTTTTTTTTACTTAGAGCATTGTTTTGACTTTGCAACATACTTTTCTTTTTTTTTTTGCAGGTGAATCTACACCGACCATATTTCATGCGTGTTCTCAATGTCTGTTGTGAAGACTAGAAGAAGCGATGGTTAGAGGAAATAGTTATAAATATCAAATAGCACTAATAAATAGCTTCACCCACTTCTACTGCTGTCTTGCTCCTACCCATCTACCGAAGTCATTTGCATAGCTATTGTTATGGAATCACGCTTCCTTGTTTCTGTAAAATGGCGAACTTCAGAGTCTCAAACTGCCCTCCTTAGCTAGAAGTCCATAATTGAAGTAGAAACAGGAAACTTTCCTTCCATATACGCATGGTTTTTACATTCGCACGAAAAAAAAAGGCACTTGAGGTTAAAAAGAAAAATGACTTGCAAGACTTCCTTACCGAGGTGATCGACAACCAGCCTGACGTTTTCCTAGCACAACTTGTATTCATTCTTAGGTTGTAGCTAACTGTTGTGACGGGTGATTTCTGATCGGAACTTGATCATGGTGACACTCTGAATGTATTTGGTGAATGGCGAAATAACGATTCATCTGTAGAGATCCATATGATACACCCTGTGGCAAGTCAAGGAACGGAGGGACCGAAACTTTCATATGCTCATTCTTAATTCCACCTTCGTCTCCACTGTTGAGCGGGAAGTGGCAGTGCCCCTCTAGCAGTAAACTAGATAGTCGGAACTTGCAGAAACTACCCGTGGTTTATTTTATTGACGCCCGATTGCAGGAAAATAATGCATTCAGGAAGGTCAACACCTTTCTTATATGAAGTTTTCATAATAGGCAACCAGAAATTTCATGATCTGCAGTTATTATCCGCCATGTGATTTGCGTCGAGCAAGGAGATTCTGCAGACGTGCGATGAAACACTGCGTTTTATCCCAGACACAACTTGCTAGAACACGTTATGCGTTCAGCCATGCGTAAGTAGCTGTGGATTTTCTCCTTTGCGCTCTCTCAGCAATCACCTGATCCTGTCGGGGAACGAGATTCTGCAGACACGTGATGAGGTCACGTGCTCCCGCTTGGCGCGCTCCGATAACAGTGTTGTACGATTAACAGTAACAGAAACTACAGTGAATTCATGGTGTGCTCCACATGCAAGGACGTGTTCACATCGGGAAAGGTGCCTGTGAAGAACACAACCGAAGTCGACCCATGCGCTGCTTTGCATGCTACTGTTGGTTTTCTTTAGTGAGAGATGGAGTATTTAAAAAAAATAAAGCAGGCTCACTTTGTTTAAAACCCACGTTTTTTTTTTCTTTTGAGTAGCACAAAAATTTAAGACCTTGGCAACTTACCATCCACGGGAACTGATCCTCTTGAGCTGCCTTGCCGTTCACAATCCTTTTTGATGGTGCTGATAAGCCACATTCTTTGAGGAATGAAAGCAACATAGTGTTAATGATTACAGATGCAAACAGCACCCTTAGTGATAAAGCAAATGTTCACTTTGTATGGAAGTAGCATTGCCTTCTCAACATTGCCTTCTCAACATCTACGGAGGTACCTGCAATTCACTTACAAGGGCTAAGGGTCCCAAGGTCACCTTAGCTAGCAGTCCGCAGTCATCCAATTTATTCCCGTAAAGTCCAGGACAGTAAAAAAAAAAAGCTGGAAGAAGGAGAGTCGAGATATCTCGTACGAAAAGTCAGCCAACAATGCCAATTTCAAATGTGGCCCTGCCGGTGCCTCATGTTTGGGTATTTCCGAAGGAGATACAGTATTAGATTCAAACTGCACATTCACACATCTACAGAATGACCCAGACATGAATGCCAATTTCGAAATAAGTTCTTGTTTCAAACTTTTTTTCAACACATAGTAAGTGGATGTGGTGCTTTTCGAATAAAATATGCTTGAGATCGTTCATACCACCATAGGTTATGAAACCATTTGTTAAATAAATAATGATAGGTAGGCATGTGCTGGCTCTGGTCGATAACGAATGTATTGCAGGCCACATGGAGCACCACGGGCTGCCTGTTTGCGGTCCCTGTTACAAAGGAACAAGACACTGAACAAGACGCTGACCGAAAAACGAGTTTTCGACACGGTCCCGGCACCACACTCCATGACATCTCTCCATATTATTGGCATGAATTTTAAATATCAGTGACAATTTGTCTAAAGTATACGCCCAAAAGCAGAAGTGTACGGCCAAATGCCATCCTGCGTGCTGCTGCTGTCTGGGCTGTCTGGTGCCGAGAGCGATTCCGTCACAGCCATTTTCTCGAGAGGGAACAGCTTGCGTGTGGTGTAGTCGGCTATTTTCACGTGCACTGCCATAGTACGCATTCTGTTGTTCACGTGTGCTACATAGTTCCCATATTTTATACGCGGGCGATCCGTAGCATGTCCTTTTAACGAAGTTTGCTGCTGTGGCTCCAGACCTCAAGGGCCTTGACGAAGGGCTGTGATACCTCCAAGTCATCGCATTTTCGCACCACGATCACTTGTCACACCTTTAACATCCGTGTACCCGTTGGTATCTTCGGGACACTTGTCTTGGCAAGTGCTCGGCGAGGTATTCCAACATTTTAAGAGCATCATACGACGCGTTTGCTGCACTATAGCTTGTTGAATATGCCTCCTGAAATCAATCTAAAGCGACCAACTTTACTTGTCACTGTCATACTTTTATGCCTGGTATGTCTTGCGCTTTCATACAGCGAGTCATTTCAGGCCATCTTACAGCCGTATAGCATCCCGTCATCACGACTGATTGGCCAGCGCTCACATTATCAGCCATGCGATCTCTCTCTAGAATTGGACCTCGCGTCATAAAAAACTGCATATCATACCTCAAAGCACAAAGCCATTCTGACAATAGGTGTGGTGAACTTCAGTGGTCTGTAGATCTGTCTATGAAGTTTTTACAAGAAGTACACCGTGATGTCCTATTTAAGCGCTGCTAACGCTCTTGCAGGGGTAGTTATATTGCGTTGGGTGTGATTTATTCGAGCATCATAGTTTTAGGGAGTTGGCCCTCTTCAAATTTTCCCTCCATATTCTTTACTGGGAGTGCGATTTCCGACCGAATATGCGGTCCGATGACCAAGGCAGTTTCGTTTAGGAGAGCACCTCCGCAAAGCTGTATGATTTCAACTCGATTGTTTAGTGGCACATTAGCAGCATTAGTTTACTCAACCCACCGCAGTATCATACTGGTTCTGGGACCGCCTGCTCACCCAAAGCTCGTGGGATTGAATCCATTCTACGAGAACCGCATTTCATTGAAGGCAAATTACTAGACGCTCTTGCATTAGGTCTTAAGTATTAGTCCAGAATAAGTACTCGAGTGGCAGAGATTCCACGAATTCTTCACTTTTCCGTCCACCAAAATTGTATTGCGGTTTTCGGTTGTAAATGCCAATTTTCTATAGAGCTTCTTCGCAGTGGCTACAGTGCTTCAGTACGCTGAAAATCTACTGAGTGGGAACTTTCGTTTTGAAGATGGCGAGGATTTTTAATCTTGCAGAATGACAGAAAGAGTTTTGGTGTGAACTTGCGAATATTAAATGTATTCGCCTGAATATTTCATAAACCATTCATTATTACTGTATGCTATCAATTAATATATGGATACTCACCTGGGCCATTTATTTGCAACTGTTCTGCAGACACCTGAAATTTGAGAAATTGTTTGAGAAATTGAGAAAACGCTGTCAAAATCACCTCGTGTCTGGCGCATCATAGCCATTGTTGCTATTGTGCCTAAAAAATCAACATAACTAACTACCTGGCACCTCAATTTGTCGCAACAATTCACGACTAATGTCTTATTTTGGAAACTATTCCGTAACTTTCGTGATTTTATCAGTGACTAAGCAAAAGGTCTCCCGAAATCTCGTCAGTAAAGAAACTTCAGAAACAGCTGGTGAAATGTCGTTCGGCAAGTCATTGGGTATTTCACAAAGTTCTCGTTGACTTGAATATTCCATTATCAATCACAACTGCTTTTAGGGCAGCTACATTCGAACTTAGTTACTTACATCTACTGTTCAGTAGCGGTGCACTTTTAAATAGATGAAGGAAATTCATGTTGTAATGCTGATCACAAAAGCTCATTTTATACGAGCCCCTACGTCAGCGGTGGCACTTGAGGGAACACCCTGAGAAGTTATTTTGTAATACCACTGTCTGGTGGTCACTTTTAGTCGCAGTAAAGCCGCATCTGAATCGAATGTCTTTATCACGAGAGAATCCTTGACAAAAACTGCAGAAATGACCCAATCACTGCTAATAAATGAGAATCCACTCTGGTTTAATGACGGTCACAAGCAGTGCACTGTGTGACAGCGGAGTCAGGTTTCACCACACTGCTCATAAAGCCTAATGTGGCACATTGTTGCCATTCATTGACTGGTACGATTGATTAGCTTGCAGACAAGCCTGATTCTTCAAGAGCCGTACAGGATGTCAAAACTTACTATTTACATGGTCGTACAATTTTCGCGGTGCGATATGCAATAAATGGAGGATAACTCACCAACCGGAACACGCCGAGTAGTAGGTTCAGTCCAATGACGACATGAAACATGGTTTTCGGCGAGTATTCCTCGCCAGCCTGCAAAAGTATGAAAGTTGCCTATTGGTTTAGAAGAATTTCGCAAGGCAGTGTAAAATATATACCAGGGCCAATGAGGTGACCACCTGTTTTTAGTGCGAAGGCACAAGTAAAGCAACATGGATTCCCCAGAAAGAGCGTTTCTATGTTCACGAGAAATTGGTGCTGGTCCGGCAAATGAGCCAGGGAGCACATGAAACCACAGTCCAGAAATTTCAGAAGCGAAAGGAACCTTGTGGCTTCCAGGTCGTGGTAGAGCGCAAACTGCAAGCTACTAGGCAGTTCGTACAGATTTCCTTGTTGCTTTCAAGCCCAAACAGACAATTGTCTGTCTAATTGAACCTATCATAATAACCATATCTTAAAAATATCATAAACAATAAATATTACATTTCAGTGGGAAGATTATAATATTCTTATTTAGTCTGAGAAATATTTGCAAAATTGTCTGGAGGCCTGGCTGTGGTAAAGGATTACTAGTGCCTGTAAAGTCGTCCCCGCCTCTGTCACCTCGCAACGCTGACGCAGGCATCGTCTGCAAGTATACGTTATCTGACTCCCTATCTGCTCAAGCCATCCCTGCCCGTGCCGTTAAAACCCAAATGCACGACCCCTCCACCTTCTTTTTTTTTCACACCTCCCTCTCTTTTTCTCCACTAGACAACCCTTCCCGTGACGTCTACATCCCCATTGCGCATGCGCAGCCCCTTCTTTTCCTCCCCTACGCTTCCCCGAACTTTCAACTCCCAACGCGGACGCCGTCAACGTCTGCAAGTGACTTTGTTGATTTAAAAAATGCAGCACATCCACAGGGTGAACGATAGAGAATGGGGCGGAGCTGGGTCCATACGCCGCTGCCACGCCGATTCGACCTCCCGTTCTCGTACTGTAGGGTCTTCGCAACGACGACGGGAAGCTTCACGTTTCGCTTCGGCCACCCACGCCCGCACGTGGAGGCCACTTCTTCGAGCACGAGCCACCGCCTCCATGCAAGCACGCCGGTCGGCAGCCTTGATGATTTGATTGATATGTGGGGTTTAACGTCCCAAAACCACTATATGATTATGAGAGACGCCGTAGTGGAGGGCTCCGGAAATTTAGACCACCTGGGGTTCTTTAACGTGCACCCAAATCTGAGCACACAGGCCTACAACATTTCCGCCTCCATCGGAAATGCAGCCGCCGCAGCCGGGATTCGAACCCGCGCCCTGCGGGTCAGCAGCCGAGTACCTTAGCCACTATACCACCGCGGCGGGGCGGTCGGCAGCCTTGTCCATCCTCCGCCGCCGAGCCTCTGAATGCGCGCGTGCCAAAAACGACGCTTCTATTACACTATAGAGCGCCTCCTGGCGTACGGTGTCGCTGAAGAACACGCGATCGTAGTCGCGCGATTGTCTTTCTCCTTCTGTACCTATGACATCGTCCGTGTTTTCTTAAAACTCACCTTTTAATTTTTATCTTTCTACAAGTAATGTCCTCTAGTATCATACCATTTGCATTTTTTCAGCGTATGTGCATTCGTTATATAGTAATAGTCTCACCCTCTATGGCTGGTTCAAGGCATTTCCGATGGAGGCGAAAATGTTGTAGACCCGTGTGCTCAGATTCGGGTGCACGTTAAAGAACCCCAGGTGGTCGAAATTTCCGGAGCCCTCCACTATGGCGTCTCTCATAATTATATGGTGGTTTTGGGACGTTAAACCCCACATATCAATCAATAACTGGTTCAAGAAATAACGAGAGGCGGTTACGCAAAACGACAATGGAGGACGCACGAGCCACGCCATAAGGAGCTTCGTCCCTGAAACACCGACTGTACGCGCTGCGCAACCGTTCGCTGGCCGCTCCGTATATATGGGCACTGGACCTTTGTCTTCAAGGCAGTGCAAGTGGGAGATTTCAGCTGTGCGTGGTCAAACGAAAAAAAAAAAGTTCGCAGCGTGCACACTAACTAAAACTGCGGGTGCCTGTGTTAAATCGGAGTCTTCTGTCTCTCATCGCCCATGAGCAGTGATTGGCTTGGTGCGCTAGGAAACACCAGGTCCATCACTGCACACTTTGCGCCTCTTCAGGTTTCTCTCCTTCACAACGCCGCCGCCTATGTAAGCGTTACCACTTGTTGCTTCGTATCCACACATGGTTCCGTATATCGGCAGATGACGTAATCTTTTAATACATTTGTTGCTTGAAACCATCTGTATTAGATGGAGATAATCAAAAAGTGGACCTCCCACATTTCCGACAGAGCGTAATACTTATTGTTTGACAGCTGCATAACGCCGCATGAATTTCGAGAGAGATTTTTTCGATATAAGGCATTCTTCGCTCGGACCTTACGAAATATTTATTAGAATGAATTGTTCTTCAAGAACAAAGTGACTGAGGAGCCTGGTCATGTTACTAACAGACGCCTGCGACCCACATAATACATTTACCATTTCGACGCCACAAAGCATCTATTAAATGAACAATTCGAGGACTGTTTGAAGTATTAAAACATACTAAACCAGATAACCGAAACATCTATGCGTCATTTCTGAAAACTAACCGTAAATACCGTGTTGCTCTTTTCGAATTAGTGTAGCAAAACACTACTCAATAAAACTGAAATTCAAAGTAATTTTAATTTCTCCCATAGTTAGCGATACTTCCTTGCATGGACGGGTTGGTATGCGCCACTGGTTTAGTTACAAAGTCATGGCTCACTCTGTTTCTGATAATGGTGTTTGTGTTCTTTTTTATGTACGCCTTATCACTGCAATTTTGACTTAGCCTGGAAGGTGAACTGAACGCGAATTTTTTGATAGCTTGGTCCTTTTGCAAGGGGATTGTCTCTCGTCGTTGTTCCAGCGTTTACAATAGAGCTCATTGTTCCCGGTAGAGGGTGAGCTGTGCTCTTAGTTTCAAGAGCGCTCACTGGATGGCGCGCCGCCACTCAGACGACCTATGTCCCCCTTTCCTATAAAGGAAAGGGGGACAAAGCTGACATAAACAACTACCGTCCTATAACAGTGACATCAGTGGTCTACAGGCTGGCGATGCAGATTATAAAGGAAAGACTGCAGGCGTGGATAGAGGATGAGGGGGTGCTGGGGGAACTGCAGAATGGGTTTCGGAAACACAGGAGGTTGGAAGACAATCTGTTCTCACTGACGCAGTGCATCGAAATAGCAGAAAAAGAACACAGGCCCCTGTGGCTAGCATTTTTGGATATCAAGGGAGCGTACGATAGCGTGGTCAAGAGGAATTGTGGGGAACACTGGACACACTAGGCGTGGAACATGTAGTCACTAATCTTTTAAGGGTGTCTATAAAATAACAAGGTAGTTATAAAGTGGGAAAAACAGGTATCCAAGCCTGCAGAGGTAAAACGGGGGCTTAGGCAGGGGTGCCCCCTGTCACCCTTATTATTCATGATGTACCTACAAGGATTAGAGGCAAAATTAGAGGGAAGTGGACTGGGCTTGAACCTCTCTTTAGTCAAACAAGAAGAAAACTTATTGATCAGGGCACTACCAGCATTAATGTACGCAGATGATAGTGCTAATGGCCAACACAAGGAAGATTTGCAGAGATTGATGGACAATCTGCGGTAATGAGGGAGATAGGTTAGATTTAGATCAGTAGGGAAAACATCAGCAGTCATGATTTCAATGACACGCAAGGTAGTGAGCTTAGAATACAGGAGGTCACGCTAGATATGACATATAAATGCAATATCTGGGCGTATGGATAAGCAATGGACCGAGTATCTGAGGGAACACGAAATAATCGTGACGACTAAAGGTACAGGAATGCAGCAGTCCTGAAAATAGGGCACTGTGGAATTACAATAGGTATGAATGTTTGTGAGAGGAATATGGAAAGGGGTCATGGTTCCTGGGCTGACGTTCGGCAATGCGGTCCTTGCGCATGAGATCAGAAGTTCAAGCAAGATTAGAAATTAAGCAACGTGGAATAGGGTAGGCTTGCTTTAGGAGCTCACGGGAATACACCAAATCAGGGAGTACAAGGTGATGATGGGATGGACATCATTTGAGGCAGGGAAGCTAGCAGCAAGATAAAATTTGAGAAGCGATTGAGAAAAAATGTGGGAAGAGCGTTGGGCTAGGAAGGTTTTCAGCTACTTGTACATGAAGAATGTCGATACAAAATGGAGGAAGCGAACCAGGAAGTTGACTGGTAAATACTTAGAAAACAGCAGGTGGCCAAACCAAAAAGAACTATCGGTTAAGAAGAAAGTGAAGGAAACGGAGACTGACATGTGGAGAATTGGCATGATTAAGAAGTCCGCACTAGAGATCTATTGAACTTTTAAGCAGGAAATTACCAAGGAAAGGATCTATGATAATACTCGGGGTAGTTCTCTACTGTTTGAGGCCAGGACGGGAGTACTGCGAACCAAGACATATCGGGCCAAGTACGAAGGGGTAGACACAGTATGCAGTGCGTGTGGAGAGAAAGAAGAAACTACCGAACACTTGATAATGTTCTGTAAAGGGCTTCACCCTATAGTTCAGGATGATGGTGCAGAGTTTTTCAAAGCACTGGAGTTTAGGGACCGGGAGGGCAAAATAGACTTTAAGCGGGTAGACTTAACTAGAAGGAGGTTATCTGATTGTGGCTAAAGTCAAGGCACGAGTGAAAATTAAACCCTTCACTGCAAAGTACGAATCCTCAAACTCACTTTTCAAAGAAAAAAAATAAATCTAGTTTTTGGTTCATTAAGTATTACGGCTTTGTGGCGCTAGCCACCGCCCGATCGAAAGGGTACAGCCATATCCATCCATCCATCCATCCATCCATCCATCCATCCATCCATCCATCCATCCATCCATCCATCCGACGCTCAATCCATCCTCGGCGCGTGCTCTAGTTTGGTAGGAGACCGCCAGGTGGCCACACCTATATATAGTGCTCGCTCTTGGCGCGAATCCTTTCTCTTTCGCCAGGCACCACTCAGTGTGCGGCAGAACCACTACCTACTATGAACACAGCAGATGCCAAGGTGGCCGTGCGGAAGGCTCGCAATGCGACTGCAGCGCGAGCTCGCCGTAAGAACCCTTCTCCGAATTTTCACTATAGTTACTGTAGGATGTATACATCCTATATTTCAAGGTCCTCTGACTTTGCACTTTGCGGATCACAAAGCCATTGTACTAAAAGGAAAACGTTCCTCCGAGCTTATGTGACCCGTAAGTAAGGTCTTAAACAAAACGTACTTATGGCATCAGCAAGCAAATATATGTATATTGTTTATAGATATGTAAATATTGTGTATTAACTATATAGATATGTAAAACTTATAATAAACATTGTGTATATAACGCGTATTCACAATCACACCACAACTACTCTCGTGTCACGTCTTTATATGATGACAATTCAGAATATGTACACAGGATTCACGGTTTACCCTCTGATTGATTTGTGGCGTTTAACGTCCCAAAACCACCATATGATTATGAGAGACGCCGTAGTGGAGGGCTCCGGAAATTTCGACCCCCTGGGGTTCTTTAACGTGCACCCAAATCTGAGCACACGGGCCTACAACATTTCCGCCTCCATCGTAAATGCAGCCGCCACAGCCGGGATTTGATCCCGCGACCTGCCGGTCACCAGCTGATTACCTTAGCCACTAGACCACTCGTGCGGGGCACCGGTTTACCCTCTGGAGTAAGCTCCTTGACCTCCATTCCCTGAATAGTGCGGTCATTTTTTTTTTCTAAAAAAAGGATGCTTCTGAGCGCGTGGGGTAAATGAATATCGCTACTGCTAGAACTACCTGTTTGCGAAAGCAAAAGCAGTTGCTGGTTCGCGACGCAAGTTGTATCGGCCACCATAAACAATTCTGTTACGCTTGTCGCTCAGCATCGCAAGGCTCGTTACGGGAAAGCCCCGAGTACGGGACTTTGAGTCGCTGCTAGCGTGGAAAGGTGCGGCGAGGAGAAGCGAGCGTTGTCATAAACATCGCGGCCACCAAGCCGTCAGTGTACTCTGAATGGACGGTACGGCACGACGGCCGACGTCTCCAATGAGTGAGTTACACTTATTCGTAAGTACGAAGGTGTTTTGGAACGCCCGCTATCCGTCAAGGGTGCAACAAAAACAAAAATATGCATCATATTTCGGTATCCTATGCAGAGGCTTCTGCAGCTATTCCTTTTTTCGGAAATATTATGTCTTAGGTTCTGTAGATTGCGGATTGTTTATCGCCTGGCAGCTGTCAAAGGTATATTAAGGATATTGAAAATGTTTTGAGTTCCTTAAAGATATGACATTCTTTGAAAGTTACAGTATTGTACCTTGAAGATAAATTTCACTTCTTTCATATATTCCTCAACAGGCCTATTTAAAAATGTTCCACAATCTATCTGCAGAATAAACAAAATGGTATGCCATGCACTATGGCAAACAGTGTCCTGTGAAGCAAGCGCTGGGCTGTAACATTTTGTTGAACGAAGTGTTACGAAAATTCCTGTAAACTTATGTACAAATATTACACGTACAGATATATGTGTGGAACAGTCACATATATTTTATATAACCAGTCGTTTACAGTTATGCAACCGTGCCAAAAGCAACATTGATATGATCAACACCAGAAGGGGGAACCTGAAATGAAGTGCTTGCGCTCGCGAGGGTGTTAGCCTCGTGTAGTGCTACGAAGAACAGTTTAAACGGTGGTGCTTAACCACGATTGACGCTAACCCGACATGATACCTGTATAATTAAAGTAGATACGGGATATTTACTAAAAAATCGGGTTATCCTTAAGCATCGTCTTGAACATGATAGCAATGCCCTGTGCCCACTATGTCTGTCACCCTGTAAAGCATACTTTTTATCGTATGATGTTACTCGAAAAGTCAAAGTTGTGGATTACTATAATGTAGTCGATAGAGTTGGAAGTGGATTGTCTTCGTGAACCCTTCGCATATCACTGCCCTCTGTGTAATGAATAGCATGCGTTGAAGCACGAGCAATTGTGACGCACGAAATCTTTTCCAACCTGGTATGATGCACCTCACTACGTCAGTCTTAAGTGAATACTCACTTTGACGTGTGGGCATTTTGTAATGGCTTGCTGGTTCAAACAATGCGCGAAGTCATTGTTATATTGACACCTTATGACAAC